ACAACAGGATGGCGTTCAGTGCGGATAAGTGCAAGGTCTTGCCCTTGGGGCATCGGAATGGGTGTCACAAGTACAGGTCAGGGGACAAGTGGCTGGAGAGCAGCGCTTGTGAAAGGGACCTCGGGGTGCTGGTCGACTGCAGGCTGAACATGAGCCAGCCGTGTGATGCGGTGGTCAAGAGGCCAAACGCCACCCTTGGCTGCATAGCCAGAAGTGTGGCTTCTAGATCAAGAGGGGCATTACTACCACTCCATACAACTCTGGTGCGCCCGCAACTGGAGTATTGTGCTCAGTCTTGGGCCCCTCGTTACAGGAAGGATATAGCCAGGTTGGAGTCAGTGCAGCGTAGGGCCACAAGGTTGGTGGCCGGATTGCAGGGGATGCCGTATGAGGCGAGACTGAGGGAACTGGGTCTCTTCAGCCTGGAGAAGAGGAGACTCAGAGGGGATCTGTTGGCGACATGCAGGGATGTGAGGGGGTGTCACATGGAGGGGGGCAGAGACCTGTTCTCCCCTGTGGAGGAAGGCAGGACGCAATCCAACAGAGCAAAGCTCAGGGAGCCCAGGTTCCATTTGGATGCCAGGAAGCACTTCCTGACAGCTGGGACCCCAATGGTACGGAATGGGCTTCCCCGGGAGGTGGTTGAGGCCCCATCGGTGCGGGTGTTCAAGGACAGGCTGGACATGCACATGGTGGGCATGTCGTGAGCAGAGCTGGCTGGTGCCAGAGGTCAGACTAGATGGCCTGGGAGGCCCCTTCTGACTCACTCTGTTTCTGTGTTTCATTTTGGATTGTTTCCTCAATGGGCTTGCAAGGCAGGGATATGGAGAAGCAGCTCTCCACAGCCTTCCTCTGAGCTGTGCTAACCAGAATTCGCGTGAGCATCACCACCATTGTAAGGAAAAGAGCCTCCTCTGACCTCGCCATCAGCTCCTGCTGCCACCCAATGGCTGCCCTTGAGGAGTCTCTCTGCCCCGTCACCATCAGAGAGCGCCATCCTTTTCTGGTGAGGCGACTGTCGCTCCTGACGTGGGTAAACGCCCTTTCGTCTGGTACCTCTGCTCTGACCATTTTGCCTTGGGTGACCCTGCCTTGGGAGAGGGCCTCTCCTCCTGGCGGAGTTGCTTGTGGCTTCTCTGACATCCTCGAACCCCATCTCTACATGAAGGCATGTGTCCCAGGGTGGGTAAACTCCATCTAATTCCCTTCATTGTTGGAGCTGGGATGGGAGGACACCCACCGCTGCCTATCCTAATTTTAGCAGCAGGGATTTGACACAAACTTCAGAGAAGCAGCAGCAACCTAGACTCTGTCAAGGGAGATAAAAAGAGCAGCTTTGCACCTCCCCGTCTGACCTACTTAAAACGCTTTGCATGGATAACTAGCACAAGGCCTCAGTCTTCTAGACCTCTGTGAGGACTCCAAGCACCTGTCCGAGCAGCTTTGAGGGGCAGGAGGTGCCGCCAAGGGCACCACCGGTGGCATTTATGGGACTGGATGAAGTAAAGAGGACGGCTCTTGAACAAATGTGCCCAGAAAGGGTCGGTGGCCAGAGCAGCAGTGCCCTCCTGGCACCCCTGTCCCCATCAGCTGGCTCGTGCCTGGGCATCCATTTTCACCCCGCATCCAGGAAACAGGGCGTTAGGAAGCACGCATTGCAGGCCCTGACATCCGAAATCCAGTTATGAAAACAGCATCTGAAATGCAAGGCATGGACTCCCTTAAATGCTCGAACTAATGCCGGTAATCAGATTGATTATGAGAACAAGGTTTGCCAAGCGCAGCAAGATGGATCATGATCGTAATAAACTGGCTGCTCAGGAAAGGAGCCAGTTTCCCTGCGCTGAATTAAAATATGATACTTTAAAAGGAAATGAAATCTGTGGCAGCTCCTGTGCAAAACGGGAGGCAGGCAGTGACTCCACAAAGGGCTCCTGAGGCGCTGACGGACCTCGCACCAAAGCCGGCTGCTCCCTTGGTGAGCATGCGGGACCCACCACTTCCCTCGTTAAAACACAAATCCTTCGCTGTTACTTTTGTGTTAAGCTTAATTTTTAAAATTCCGTTTCTCTATGCCCTCATTATAAAGAACAAGGAAAGAGAAATTTGCAGCCATACCGACCAGTCGATCCCCTGGTCCTTCTGCTGCATAGAGGTGCACCAGTCGCTTGGAGTTTTTCAAACCTGGTCTGAGTGTCTGGAGAGATCCCCACATGCTATGACTGAAGAATTTGGATTGATAGATGTCTGGAGACATAAACACCCAATCTCTGCTAAATACACTTCCTCTTCAAATAGACATAGGTCATGGTCGAGAACTGATATGGTTTGGATAACCCCAGACTTAGTACCAGACCTGCTAGAAGCTGAAATAAGGCAAATGTCTGGGCAGATCATAACCCTGTAACGATGCTATTGAAAGGGACAGTAAAAATGCCCGGATGCAGGTTAAACAAAGCCTTATTAAAGGATAAAAAATTCACAGAAGAGATAAATAAGGAAATGCAAATTTTCTTTCATATCAATACAATTGAAGAAACCTCTTTGCAAAATGTCTGGGATATAGCCAAAGCCTATGTCGGGGTTGATAATAACATACTTAGCAAAAATAAATAAAAGGAGAAAGCAAGAACGAGCTAAAATAGTAGCGGAATTGACGAAATGTGAACAAGAGTTACAGGAAGATCTATCCAAAAAAGACTTTAAGGTACAAATGAATATTCTAAAATATAAACTGAACCTCCTGGATACAAATGAACTCACTAAGCAAATGAAATTGACCAAACAGAACTTCTTTGAAAATGCTAATAAACCAGGGAGATGGTTAGCCTATAAAGTAAAGAAGGAAAGAGAGAAGAGACTAATAAGTAAATTGAAGGATGGAGAAGGACGACTGCAAGTACAAAGCATACATATCAAGAAAATAGCGGAAGATTTCTTTGCAAAGCTATATCAGAATGATGAGATTTCAACTGAGAAAGTAAACGAATATATCCGAAAGGGAGACCTGCCAAAGTTACCGGAGAAATACCAAAAAGTATTGAATCAAGAAGTAACAATCACAGAAGTAAATGAGGCAATTAAGAGACAAAAGAACGACAAAACCCCTGGCCCGGATGGGCTGCCAGCAGAGTTTTATCAATCCTTTGAAGGCATTTTCGCTGCGCTTCTTAAGGATATATGTAATGCAGGATTGTTAAATGCTAAAATACCAAATACTTGGACAGAGGCACATATTACATTAATACCGAAAGAAGACATGGACTTGACGCAGATTCAAAGCTACAGACCTATATCACTATTATAACGTAGATTACAAAATGTTTGCTTCCATAATGGCAGAAAGATTGAAGAAGTATTTAACAGACTTTATTCACTCAGATCAAAATGGTTTCTTGCCTAAAAGACAAATGAGGAATAACATGAGAACTATCTTGGACATCTTAGAGTATTATGAGATACATATGGAAAAACCAATGGCACTATTATTCATGGACACACAGAAGGCTTTTGATAATGTTAATTGGCAATTTATGAAGCAACAACTAGTTCAAATGGAGTTTGGTGAAAAGTTCATTAATGCAATATTAAGCATCTATCAAAAGCAATCTGCTAGGATTATAATCAATGGAGAATTTACAAATATTATAGATATACAAAAGGGTACAAGACAAGGATACCTGCTATCACCACTGTTGTTTATATTGATCCTAGAAGTGTTAAACAGAAATATCAGGGGCGATATGGACATTAAAGGCACTAGAATCATAGAGGAAAGCTATAAACTGCAAACATTCGCAGATGACCTGGTTTTCATAACGGAGGAACCCTTAGTAGCAATGCCTAAACTCCTACAAAGGATTGAAGAGCATGGCGAGGTTACTGGGATGAAAATAAACAGAGAAAAGACGAAATTGCTAGCAAAAAATCTCACCTAGGAGCAGAGAAAAACTCTGACGGAACAAGTAGGCTTTCAGATTGTTAAAAAGGTCAAACATTTGGGGATTTATCTTACAGCTAAGCGTACCACTCTGAAAGAAGACAATTATGATAAACTATTTAAGGAAATTAAGAGTGATTTGGAAAAATGGGCTAATTTGCAATTATCTTGCTGGGAAGACTAGCACTAGCTAGAATGAATATATTACCAAAGCTTTTGTTTCTATTCCAAATGATTCCCATAAAAATTGATAGAAAATGTTTTGATGATTTAAATTTTCAAATCTCGAGATTTATATAGAGAAAGAAGAAACCAAGGATTAAACTAAAAATACTTCAGGAGGCTAAAGAGAATGGGGGCTGTGGTCTCCCTGATTGGATGCTGTATTACCAAGCTTCTGTTTTAACCTGGCTAAAAGAATGGAAAACCTTAAGAAATAAGAGAATCTTGTATCTTGAAGGGCATGATTTGCAAATGGGTTGGCATGCTTATATGTGGTATGAAAAGGCTAAGATACATGGCTCTTTTTTAAGTCATTATATTAGGAAAGCATTAATGTTGGTGTGGGAAAAGTTAAAGACAAAATTGTATAATAAATTACCAAGATGGCTTTCACCTATGGAGCTCCTGTATATCCAAATGCATTGAACTTTGAAGCGATCGTAAGATATGATGACATTTTGGATAATGATGGAGGATTAAAATTTAATCAAGAAATGCAAGAACAAGGATCTAATATTTCTTGGTGGCATAAGGTGCAGATACAATCGAGATCTACTAAAGACTATAAAATGTGGGGCTTTTTTAAAGATTTAACTGCATTTGATCAGGTGATGCTTAAATCAGATGAGAAAATGATTAAAAGACTATATACTTTCTTACTAGATAGGAGAATGGAAGATGAACAGGTTAAGGAAACTGATAATGTGGGCACAAAACTTTGGATACAATATTGAATTAGAAAAACGGCAAAAGCTGTGGGAGAGAAATATTAAGGTAACATTAGCAACTTCATATAAAGAAAACTGCATATTTTACACTTAAGAGAGCCCAGACTCACGTTATTTCATAGGCCTGGGTGGTGTTGTCTGGCCATGCCACGAGGCAGACCACGCGCCCGGGCAGATCTGCGGTCGTTGCGTAATAGCCTTGCGGGAACGACAGTAATAAGGCCAGCAGCCATATCACGCAGATGATGACTTTGGTGGCCGTGGCTGACAGTCGTGGCTGCAGGGGACGGATAATGGCCATGTATCTGCATGCGAGAGAGAGAGAGAGAGAAGCAGCACTTCAGCTATGGGGCGGTATAAAAATGATGATGATGATGATGATGATGATGATGATGATATATGTTGCAGCAAACATAGACAAGTGACGGAGCCTGTCTCCCCCCAGGGATGGAGCAGGCCTTCCCCATCTTTTAGGGTACATGAGCGGCTTTCCCCCATTGCCCTCCACTGGCTGGGCAAGATCCACGGGATTTCTGTGTGGGACTCCCTCTGCCCTTGCCGCCTTCCCTGTGCACCCGGAACCATCCCTGTGGCTTTGCTCCCATGCCAGTGGCCGTGAGCCAGGGAAGGCCATGTGGGCTTGGGGTTGGCTAGGACTGTGCCCATTGCTGGGGCTCAGGTGCTGTGGAGGGTAAGGGCTAGGGTAAAAGAGGGTGTTCCCCCAAGAGATGGGGCGGGCAGAGAAAATGAGGCGGAGGGGCATATGGGGAGCCCAGTGCAAGAGCGTGTGAAGCGCCTGTGCCCCGTGGTGCCCCACAAACTGCCGACAGCACCACAGGCCTGGGCACAGAAGTCTCCCTGGGGTCTGAGGTCGGCATCACTGGGACCGAGCAGCCGGAGACTGCGTTCCGTGTGGGAAGACTGAAAACTGAGGTGCAGCACAGCCAAGGCAGGAGACTGGAAAGCATGACAAAGCCTCTTGCATTAACTTTATCTAGAGGGTTTAGAAGAATGTGCGGAGCATCCGTTGCTCGCTCTCTCCTCGTTATATTGTCAAAACACCGGCACACTGGCTGGAAACAGCTGGTTGCTAAACTCAGTGAGAAATCTGGCCACCAAAGGTATAATTATATGGAGAAAGGTGTCACTTGAAGCCTTTTAGTTCCTTCCCGGTGAAAGCATCAGTTTTACCCACATGAAGCTGGAGATTAGCATGTGCTTCTAGAGCGGCATCCTTCTGAGGAAAGTGGCCGTGTTACTCCTTCCTGCTCTTGGGGTATCAGTGTGCAGAACGTGGGCGCCTGGCTGCCCATGTGGGCCCAGGTGTCACGTGCAGTTCTGGAAACTGCCGGCACCATCACTGTAGGCTGCACCGTCCAGGGGCGAGTCGGTTTTTGTCTCTCCAGAGCCATCCAGAGTGTCTACAGGCCTGCGAAAGGTGAGGTCCAGCCTCTGTCTCCTTCACAAACCCTTGCATGTGTGGGGCTTTGGGCCCTGCGTGGCACAAGTCGCTGGTGCAGGCAAGGACTGTGGATGGAGGCAGGGGTACCCAAAAGCCTCAGCCAGCCTGGAACAGGGCCAAGCAGGGATGGGAGCAAGACGAGGGAAGGACACCCCCTCCTTTCCCGCCCTTCCAAGCCCTTTTGGCCCTGAACTGAAGCATTGTGTGTGGCCTGGGGTGCAGCTGGGGCTGGATCTTGAAGCCGCCAGAGGACCACCCGGCAAGTGGCCACAGCAGAAACGTTCTCGCGGTCATGATGGCAGTGATTTAACTGCATCTGCAGTGTGACGCTCCGAGAATTTCTTCCGATGGAAACAGATCAGGGCTGGTCTTTTTTTTTTAGGGGATCTCTGTTTTGTTCAACGCAACAGGAGCTAAAAGCAGTTGACAATGTCTGCCTGGCTGCGACCTCTAACAGGGCATAGCCCACGTTCCTCCTGACTTCCTGATCAAAGTCTGTGGGACTTCCAGGTCAGCTTTGAGAAGCCAGGGCCTGCAGTGCAACAGGGCCAGGAGAGGCGCATGGCCCGGGGGACCGCTTCCTTTTTCCCGGACGTGGCTTTCAGGCAGAATGGTTAGCAGAAGTGGAGACAAGGCAACAGGGCCGTCTGGAGGGGGCTGGACCCACACAAATGGCCCCTGGAAATGACGTGATCTGAGACTGACTGATTTAGCTGAAGGCTGTAATTCCCAGAGGAATCTTGAGATTACATCTAAAAGAAGAAAACCTTCAGAAGGAACATGCAAGATGCTTCATTAGAAGTTACTTCAGAAAAATTCTTGGGCCGTGCCTTCAGACCGTGCCCCGCGGGGCTCATCCTGAAAGTGAGGAGCTGTGCAGCAAGGTCCCGCGTTGCAGCGTGCATGGCTGCAGTCAGCGGAACGAGTGAGCAGGAGCCGCGCCAGATGGCCTCTTCGCCCGCTGGGAAGCTGTGTGTGCTAAACGTACAGGCAAGCAAAGAGAAGCACAGCGAGTCACAGCAGGGACCCAATTAAACCCTGAAAGCCCCGTCTTGAATACACGCAGCCACAGGCCCCGTGGTTCCATGGCAGTGGCTTGTGAGTAAAAGCACGGAGAATGGCAGCTCAGGGCCCTCGTGGCACATTCTGGGCCAGCTGCGCACCATTTCATTCCTGGCATGAACGAGTGCCGTGACGGCTCCTGCTCGGATGCTCCACACGCTCTCAGGCCCCTCTCTGGGCAGGCAAGATGGCACTCGGCACGTCCACAGCCTTACCTGATGGAGGTGAAGCGGAGAAACAGGTGCATGTCCTCAGCACACCGATGGCAGCGCACCCCAGAACACCTTTTTTGCCACAGCGCATCTTGACCTCAGGTGCATCCCCTCCCCTCCCCTCCCCTCCCCTCCCCTTCCGGATGGTTTGGGGAACATCTGTGCCCTGCATTCCTGGGGAATTAATTGCTGAGCAATTGCCTCCGTGGCTCCTTGCTCAGCCCATCCCGGGAACACTCCTTTCCCTCATTGCACCCCGACCAAGCCAGAGGATGGAACCAGAGGGGGGTTTGGTGCCTGAGGCCCCGCCACTCGCCAGCCTCTCCTTCCTCAGGATATCTGCATCCGAACACATGAACCCCTGGGGTCCCAGCTTCCCGGTTTCCACGTATTGTTAATGCCAGGAATGGCACACACTGTAAGCGGGGGCCCTGCATCCAGCTCTGCCCAAGGACTGAGCAGGAAAGTGGGAAATCCTCCTCGCTGGGCTGTCAACACATCTGACGCTCATCACACATGGATGCCACAGCTAAGAGCAGGGATTATGCCTTCGCTTTGCTGACTGCTCCTGGGCACCCTGCCCCTGCCCACAAGTCCGTAAGTCGCCCTTTTGGTTCACATCCCGCTCCTGATCGGCCTTGCCAACCTGGATGGGAAAGGGTGCTGTTGGAGGAGGAGAGAGGCAGTGATTGTCCGCTGTGTTAACAGCACACGGCATCCTCGGGGGGACGCCAGGCCCTCTGGCCTGCTGCTAGCCCTGGTCTGAGGCCTCCTGGCTTGTTCGACCAAGACTCACCCTCCCCACCTTCTAGCAGAACAGCCAAAAGCAAGCACTTGGAAGAGCGTCAGGGAGGCAGGCAGCAGCACACTCCTGTGCAAAGAGGCTGCATGGAAATGGACGGAAGGATCTAGGGAAACCATCACCGGCCCCAGATACGCTTGGCTAGGCATCCCTTCTTCGGGGGAATACTGCTGGGGGTGGGGAAGAGAGAACCTTCCTGTTAGGCACCACTGCTCGGATATTAAAGAACGGGTGTGCCAAGGTATACCTCTGATCCTTGGAGGGGTGGGGGCATTGCCTGCATGCCTTGGAGGTAAGCAGGGGAAGCTTGGGTCTCTACTTAGGAGGAAGCCTCAGCCAAGCTGAAGTAAGTATAAGACTGCGGCCTAAAAACAGCAACATGGTTATAGCCATGGATCTTTTATTTACACCTTCTTGAACAGTTAACACAAATGATATTCTTCAGTCAGCCCTTGTGAGGGTGGAAATTGTCTGGGAGAGCCCAGGTGGCCAGTGAAGCAAGGAGAAAGCAAAGGGTTACATGAAGCCTGAAGGAACCAGGACTGTCTCCAAATCCAGCAACACCTGCGCAGCCTCTGTATTTTCCCATGAGGACACTGCTCTTTGCAGGATGTCTCTCCAACCACTGATAATTATCATGGTCCTGTAACGAACTGCTCCTGAAACTTGGTTGCAAGAACCAATGATTCCTTCTTTGCGCCTCTCTTTGAATGCTCAGAAATTTGGAAGCACTGCTAGCAGTCTTGCCACCTTGCTGTGTGCTCAGCCCTCCCGCCGGCCTGGAGCCAGTCCTGGACTCTTGTGAGGGTCCGAGGAAGAGGAGAATGTGATTGTACATAACAATTCAATCAGTGTTGCAGGTAGTTTCTCTCCTTGACATACAAGCAAAAACATGGGATGGAGAGTTACTTGAAAATCCCCACTTGACAAAATGCTGGGTTTACCCTTGCACACCTACAGTTTGTCAAAGGGTTTGTCCCCGTCCTCACGGTCATTGCTTGGGACCTCGTCCCTGAGAAACCACTGAGAGAAGGTGCGTTTTCAGAGGAAATGGCCCAGCTCCCTGAAACAGAAAGTTATTCTGGACTATGGCCGAAATTCCAAGAGGCTTCTGAATAGAAACACAAACGGACGGGGATGAATGACTCATGCTAGGAGAGCATCGGCGGCGTGACAGTCTGTAGTTTGCGTTTTCCTCAGCGGAGGATGAGTGGCAAAAGCCGCCGTCTTTGATATTTGGTGGGGTTTTCACAGCAGCTCTTGCGCAGCTGTCGCCTGCCCGCCCCTCTGAGGCCCAGTGAGAGGTGCTGGCCTTTCAGGACACGCAGCATTCGGGAAAGCTTTGCTGCCGATGATGCAGAAGCTTGTTTTAGAACAGCAGTGTGCAGGACCCATCTTCTCTTCCTTTCTGGAATGTGTTGCCCCTGCTGTGAACACTCTGCTGCTCGGCGCTCTCACCAGTCTCTTGTGATTGCAGGGAAGCCAGCTCCCGACTGGAGCAGCTAAGTGTTTTCCCTGCCCAGGGACAGCGCCCGTGAGTGTGGCGTTAGCACTCCCGCTGCTTCGGGCTGATGAAGTAAGAAGTGTGTGTCTTTTCGCAGGCAGCGCTGTGGTTGTCCGGCTAAGGGAAGCGCCCCAACACTTTCCTCCACCCCAGGCTCACCTCCAACAGGAAGCAAGTTCCGCTTTGCCCGCCAGCCCCTCCCTTCTGCAACAGGGGGATGGTATTGACCTAACGTACCTGACTTTTGTAAAGGTTATTTCAGTCAAATAAACACTGCAGAATGACCTGTGCATGCTTTGGCTAGCACACCAGCACTATTTCAGGTTCATGCCGAGGAGCTGGGCATTGCAAGTGGGGGCTTGCTTGAATTGTGCAGGCCCCTTCAGAGCTGCAAGCTGATTTCCAGACTCCCCTCCTGGTGTAGCCCTGTGCATGGGAAGGAAAGCCAAGAGCCCCTCTCACCCGCGGGAGCTGTTGGGGCTTCCTCTTCACTTCATCCTCACAGCAAGCCAAGCCGTTTAGAGGAGAGCTGTGGACAAGCTCCAAGTCAGCCAGCAGTCTGCAAACAGATGGCTCAGCACCTGAAACAGGATGTTTCAAAGCTGCAAAAGGGTCTCGAACCGAAGGTCTTTTTGCCCTCGCGTCAAAAAAGGGTCTGGCGTCTGTTTCAGCAATTGTGGCGTGAGAAGCCCCCATCCCTGCACGCCAGCAAGACTTGTGCAACCAGCCAGCACTGGGAGAACTCCCTCCACACGCTCCCTGGATCTCTTCTCGTCTTGAGGTTCTCCTGTAAGGCTTGGCCTCCTCGGATGGCTCGGGAGAACCGCAGCTGGAATTGTGCTTCACTGTCCAAAGCTGCGGAGGGCAGGTTCTGGTTCCGATCCCAGAAGCGGCTTGGGCAGAGGGAGCGATTGCTCCTTCACCGCTCTGCAGTCTTCCTGATCGATCCCTCTCCTGCCTCTCCTGTTTTTAACTCCAGCAGGAAAAATGCCTGTGCTTGTAGCACACTTTTATTTCATTTGTTTGTGGCAGAGCTAAAGTCAGCTTTGGGATGCGGGGCACCAGCTGGTGGGGCACCCCCACTAGCACCCCAATTTCTGCCTGGGGCTCCCTGCTGCCAGTTCCACCAGCAACCTTGGAATGTGGCTGCTCGTTGCTCAACCAAGGCTGATGTACAAATGGAACGTCGCAAATACGATGTCACAAATCAGCCTTCCCTGCCCTCGGAAGCCACCTCAAACACCAAGCTGTTCAGTGGGGCCCATGCCCACCATCCACTGCCAGAATATATCATATATCCTGCACAAAATATATTCCACACCACGGCTACCTGTATTCACCAACAAGAAAAACTGGATTCTGTTCTCGGCATCCTTAGTGACACACGGTGACGGCCCGTGTATGATTTCGCTCATTTTCCGTGGGTGATGCTGCCACCTCTCTTGCCCTCAGCCGGCCATGGAGCACCAGCTGCCCCGCTGCTTCGGAAATTTGCCAGGCGCAAATGGGGATCCCTCAGGAGCAGGTTTCTGCAGGAGCACATTCCTCGTCCTTTCCCTTCTGAGCCTCCACAGGTTTCTGGCATGCAGCAAACCCTTCTGTAAAGTGAGACGCTGCTGCTGCTTCCCAAAGGTTCCGTCTTTCGGAGCTAATTTCTGTGGATTGTTTGTTTCTGTAGTCAGTTCAGTTCAACCACACAGGTACCCTTTTCAACCGAATGCAAGTGCAAACGGGTTAACTTCCAGGAGCAAACAAGAAACATTCTACAAATGAAACTTTTCCAGAGAGAACAAGGATTCTTGACTTTTTTCCTTGGAAATGTTTTTGTTTAGTCGAGGGAAGTACGACATTTTGCCAGTTAGCTTTGATAACTGCAAAGGGCAGAGTATGCCGAATGACTTTCGTTTTGCGAAAAGCTGGTGTGCTCGAGAGGCAGCGCATTTCTCTTACATGAGAAATATCAAAAAAGTGCACTGAATCGTTCTAAAGCCACAGCGAGGCTCCCCGTTTGGCGTAACACAAGACTCCAGAACCCCCTGGATTGGCAAGATGCTTGCTGTGTAGGCTCAGAGCCTCTCCTCTTGGCAACTACTAAGGAGGGTCCTTTTCATTATGGCAGCCGGCCACCCACGATGGGAAGAGGACGGGGTTGCAGCTGCCAGGCAGAATCTACCAGGAGGTTCTCCAGCACAAGCTTCCCTGAAAGGATGGGAGAAAGATGACCATGTCCCACCTGCTGAGGCCTGGCACCTGCAGGGATTTGCTCCAAGCCCGGCCATTCCGGAGCAGGCTGGAGTAAGCAGCCTGGACTGACTTCTGTGGAGCCACACAGATTTTACCGTGCCTCCCCCCTCCACACACACACACCATTTAAAGGTGCCGTTTTCAAGAGGGACTCAAGAGCCAGTGTGGTGTGCCGGACACAGTGGCAATCTTCCACTGAGGAGGCCAAGATGGCCCTGCTTGTCTGCCCCCATCCCAGGCAACAAACGAGCCGAGCCTCGTTGAACTGCTGGAGTGAAAAGCTGCTGAGTCTTCCTGCAGTTCCATTCATTTTCACAATGCCACACACATGCAGAACCTCAGTCCGTGTCACCCAAACCCACCCAGTGGGAGCGTGGTGGCTGACCTCGGGCCACCCAGCGAGTTCACGGGAGAGGCGAGACGTCCTGCTGGCACTCCTTATGTGTAAACAGAGAGCTTGGGCTGTTGGGCAGTGCAGAAATAGATTGATCGATTGATCAGTCCCAACCCTACATCAAGATGCATAAGGCAGAGAGACGGACGGCTGCTTAGCAGGACTAAGGAGTGTGGGAGAAGATGGTCAGTCTCAGGCACCATCATTTGGGGGCAGCCAAATGTGGACCCTATGCCCATTTCACAGATGGGAGACCAAGTCTGCAGGGATGCCCCAAGCCCGGCAGTTGCTGAAGAATGGGCTGCGTCAATGTGCCCACACTTTTGGGGCACCCGTGGGGTCTTCATGCCTTTTCCAGCAACTGCCAGAGATCACTTTGCCAGAAGAGGCTGAAGCGCCGTGCTGGGCCCTCCAGGTCCTCTGGGAAGCTCGCCGGCGAGCCAGCGGGCTCCAAGTGCGGCGCGGCCCCCTCCTCCTCCCTGCTCGCCCGGCCTTTCGCGCGTCCCGGTTCCCCTTCGCCAAGCGGCCGCGGATCCCAGCACGCGGCTGGCGGCCAGGAGCTGGTGCGCTGCGCACGCCGCGGGAGCGCGGAGGGGGCCGAGCACAAGGCAGGCGCCTGCTCCGGGACCCGCGTCTGCCCTGCTCTGGCGGGGCGCGCGGCGGCCGGCTCCCCGCTCGCCTGCCCGGGGCTCCCGGGTCGGGCTCGCCCGCCGCAGCGGCGCCCGTGGCTCTCCGCTCCCCGCGCCGCCGCGCGCCTCACCTGTCCACGGCGATGGCCGTCATGGAGTAGATGCTGGCGAAGACCGAGGCCACCGGGAAGAAGTTCTGGAAGCGGCAGTAGAAGAGCCCGTAGTACCACACGTTGTGCACGGCGTAGGTGAAGTTGACGAGCGTGTTGAGCGCGGCCATGGCCGCCTCGGAGAAGGCCAGGTTGACCAGGAAATAGTTGGTGACGGTGCGCATCCGCTTGTGCGCCAGGATGATCCACATCACCACCGCGTTGCCCACCACCGCCACCAGCACCACCAGCGCGTACGCCACGGCCCACAGCGCGACCTGCCACGCCGGCTGCACGAACTGGTTGCCGTCGGCGCCGCTCGCGGAGCCGTTGGCCGCCGCCGCCGGGGTCGCCTCCATCCCCGCCGCCGCCGCCGCCGCCGCCGCACGGAGCCGCTCGCGGCGCCCGGCTGACCGGGCTGGCGCGGCGGGAGCTCGGGGGCCTCCCGCGCGTCCCTGGAAGCCTCTGCCGCCCCGCTCTCGCCCGGCGGCCGGCACTGCGCCTC